ATCATAGCGGAGTGCAAGGCTCAGTCCTGACGCGAAATATCACCCAAGTTAGAGCAAACGATCGCCCAACCCATGGTCCCCTGTATAAGCGACTTCCCATATATTATGAGGATTTTGCCCCTGACAGTACGTGACGACAAACGCACAGGTCCAACATAACATGACTTGGCAGGTTCGTCCTGTCTCGTTCTGGTTGGTGCTGGCTGGTCCTTGCACAGATCGGGGCGGGGGCGGATGGATTTGGTCATCTGGTTGAGACTGCCGGCGGTTAATGCCACGGCTGACAGTATCAAACTTAAAGGTCGAAGCAAAAGGGGTTTTTGGCTTCCCTTCAGGAAGACCTTTTTTCCTTAATGAATGCCCCTCGAATAAAGCCAAACCGCCACTTCAAAGCGCTCCTATTTAGATCATGGGCAAAAAGAGCAACCGGCCGAACAATTGGCCAGGCACGGGAGGGTCTCCTGAACTTGACGCTTGTTTTAACTTTGTCTGTGCGTATATGAATGCGAATGTTTAATAAATTTGTATCTATCTATCTATCTGTTATTTTGGGGAATTGCTTCATAGGATGAACGGGCGAGAATCGTTAGGCGCACCATCGTCAGATACATCTGTGTCACCTTCACCTTCACCCTCACCCTGATGTCCCCTAAAGCCAAGAAGCGCTTTCCCACTCTGAACCACTTTGTAGACGCCGGCCTGTTTACCAAAGAGGAGAAGAAAATATTCGAGGACTTGGACAACGAATATCCCAACTACACAAAGAACTGGCAAGCACTGGATGTTCCATAAGAATTCAGAATAAATATACATAGTAATTTGCAGGCTGCCTTTGGCCTGGGCAGCCAACATAACCACAAGGGCTCGACATGAAGGCATCATCAGGGATGATTGCTCAGTAAAATGCATTCTGGAGCAAATCAACATCTTCAGGTCCAAGTGCGGGGAAATGCTCGCCTATGATTGGATCAGCATACCGTTGGTCTACACCCAGGTACAATGAGCTTCCACACTCAATATAAATTACCTTACGTTGCTTCCAGGTAGTCACCATAGCGGTATACACGTACTTCCTAATCACAGTGATTGGTAACCAGTTCATTGAAGTGGACAAAAAGTACGTGGATCGACTCATATTCAGTTTCCCTTTTATGCCAGTGCTGGAGTTTTTCTTCTACATGGGCTGGCTCAAAGTGGCCGAAACGTTAATCAACCCATTTGGCGAGGATGATGACGACTTTGATGTGGTCTGGATGATCGATAGACATATCCAGGTAGTGTTTGCTTGAATATCATGTTTTACCTCAAATATATACAGGGTGGTTCAATTACTAGGAGCCACTGTTGTCATCTTCTAGATCGTAAGAGTTACAAGTTAGATTCAATTAGGGAAAAGCTATCAAATATGGTAATTTTTTTTGGTTTCGGAAATATTGGAAGAACAATTATTATCGTTGTTTTTGCAAATGCACCCAAAACTAGTGGTTGTCGAAGAAATTGTCCTTGCAATATTTTACTAGTTTTTGAAGATCTATGCATTGATATTAAATGTAATTTGTACGATACACACAGCACAAGGAGATACAAATGGAGCAGGGGTTAATTATCCAAATACGAGAAGCTGCTCGATAACAGTGGAGAATGAGGAGATTACAGAGGCACTAACTTGTTTCGACTTCATGACTCCAATGTATTTTTTATTTGTAAACATAAATTCGAGGTTATGAGGATATTGTCACCCTGTATAATTCCATGGTAACCGGAGTTTTTAATAATTACGAAGCGACAGGTATTTCCGTAATGTTAATTAGGCAGATTACCATGAAAAACATTGTTGCCGTTTTTCTAATATAGTTTTTTGCAAATTTCTCAGTTTTTAATAACAATTAATATTTCTTACTATTTTTTCTGTACTCCTTAAACACCGCCAAACAATACCTCCAGAGGAATGACGCTAATTTTGAATCACCCTGTATGCATATTTTATTCTGATTTCAATAAACCTCCGTTTTTGCACGCGCATCCTACGAGATCTGCGCTGACGATACAGTTATAATTGCCGACCCACCGCAAGCTTCAAAACAACGCCTTTCCATTAATTGCTACACTCCATCCAATTTAGGTTTGCTACCTACTAGTAGACAAAATCCACCAGGACCATCCAAAGCTGAAGAAGGACTACTACTGGCAACAAACCGCACCTGACACTTTGCCATTTACCGTAGCGTCGCAACAGTATATGAAAGACACACCAGTACAATCGGCTGAAAAATTGCAAGTCAAAAAGACTGATCAGGATCTGATAATTAGAGAAGTAATCTGATTAGATGTGTTTAGAAAAGCTTTTGCTAGCCGTGATTTGTTTCAGGAGGTTTCCCATCACCGACCAAGTACCTAAATCTAGTCGTTGAACCATACTTAGTTTGGACTGAATGCTTTTCTTGTAGGGTCGCTTTGGGGCAGCTTGGGCAATGTTCTTTTCTCCAATCGAAGACGAGGAGACAACAAATACTGCCTGAGAAGGATTGCTGTGGATGACAACGCAGAGATTTTCGACGAGGTAAGACGGATTGGTTTTAGTTCACTACTAACCTACTAACTAACTTTCCCCACCCGTATGGGGTAGATGTTTGGTCAAGCTTTGAAGACAACGGGAAAACAGTCGGTAAGTATTCAAGTCTAATTTCTTTAGCGCCTCAAATACAAGCAGTTCATGGATGCATTCAATGCATCACAAGTGGTGCAGGTTGCGCTTAAATGAATTCGATTTGTTGAGTCAGCTGGTTAGAGCGTTATTACGGCAAGAAGCAAAAGATGAAAAAATGATCTACCTGTAACGTGCCTAAACTTACTAACATAATTCATAATCATTTAATGTTCTAAAAAAACGTGCCATGACGAAAGGGCATTTCAAACTTTGATTTTCTATTCAGATTTTTAAAAAGGACCCACATACATTTCGTTTTAAACTTAATTTAGCTAGTAAACATCAGCAGCTATCTACCTTGGCAGATATCCGTTGACACACATGTCAACGCCAATTTTTTTGTTAATTTCAAAAGTGTACTCTTCAAAATTCAAAAGTTATACTCGAAAACACAGTAGCACATCCACGTACGAAACATGACGTATCAACTTCCGAATGATTATGTGTATCTTTGTCATTTCAAGAGCTACAGAGAAAGTAAATTATGGAAAAGATGGACATGTGAGGATGCGCAATGTTTACCAGTTTAAAGTTACCACAATATCTTGATAATTGCGTTTTTATTTACAATTAATACTCGATATTTTTATTCATGGATTATTTTTAACAGTTACTTTCTTAGAACCTATAACTGCTACCTCTTATCAACAATGAAGACATGCCCCAAATTCAATTATTGTTGGAGATTGAGTCTCTCCATGATTATATATTTTTTAAGTTTTGAAGAACATCATTTAAAAACTAACCGCAAAAGTAATGGTAACTTGGCTATAAAAATCAGTCGTGTACCTATATAATAAACCAGTGTCGTTCCCGAAGGGTTCGGCACTACACATAGATTAAACTGTCGGTCGCGCCTCTGAAAGGGAAACGATAATCTAAAAACTAGACAGAGAGGAATGTTTTTGTTTTAAAACCAGCGTCGTACCCGAAGGATTGAATTTGACTCTACTGGATGTCGAACAACCTTTAATGACTGAAAAAAGTGACTAAAAATTGGCGTCATTTTCTTCCAAGGGTGATAGCAGAGACAAGTAATAATCAAGTTATCCCTTGTCTCTGGGTAATAGGGGCTCCCTTATAGATTACGAGAAATATATAGAAAACAATTTTTTCGAGTAGTAGCCTACCACCTGTCTACATTCCTGATGTAACTAATATTAGCGTATTTCTTGAAGAACTAAGTGATGTAAACTTACTCGAATATATCAGATACAAAACTAATAACAAAAACGAAATCCAGCTATACTGCAATTCTACAAATATATCAAAACACTATACTTATCGAAACCTTATAAAGTATTTAAATGAGAACAATGCGGTTCACCATACCTACCAACTAAAGCAGGAAAGATCCTTTAGGGTAGTTCTACGCAATCTACATCCATCAACTAGAGGAGAGGATATTACGACAGATCTGAATTCCTTAGGACACAATGTAAGGAATGTGTCTAATATTTCAAGCAGAATTACCAAAAATCGGACACCATTGTTTTTTGTTGACCTTGCTCCACAGGAAAACAACAAAGACATTTATAGAATAACGCTTTTACAAAACGCTGTAGTTACAGTTGAGCCTCCTAGAAAGTCGAGAAGCATTGTACAATGTACAAGATGCCAAAGGTATGGACATACTAAAAACTACTGCACGCGACCTTTTCGATGTGTCAAATGTACTGGCGAACATCCTACCACTTCATGCACTAAAACAACAAAAATTCTCCAGCAACTTGTGCTCTATGCGAAGGATCACATCCTGCTAACTACAAAGGTTGTACAGTTTACAATGAAATACAAAAACAACAAAATCGTCGAACAAATGCAAACCCACGACAAAATAACACCAAATTTAATACCACTTCTACTTCCTCCCAGGAACAACCAAGCAGAATTACTCATAGAAATCGGACATACTTTGAAACCTTAAAAAATAACAAACTTTCTGAAATCAATACCGCTCCCGCAGACAATGGAAACCTAAATGCCCTTTTCATCAGATTAGAAGGGATACTAACCAAACAAGCTGATCAGCTAACATCACTAATTAACCTTCTAACCCACCTACTCACGACAAGATCCAAAAATGCCCCATAGCACACTCAAAATAATTCTTTGGGACGCTAACGGACTTGCCCAACATCGTGACGAAGTTGACCTCTTCCTCAAAACAAACAAAATTGACATTCTTCTAGTATTAGAAACCCACTTCACTAACAGAACATACTTTAAAATCCCAGGATATTCTATATACAACACTCAACACCCTGATGGCACCGCTCACGCAGGAAGTGCAATTATCATCAAAAATCAAATTATACACTATGAAATGGAAGCATACCAGTTAGACCACATGCAGGCTACAAATGTAAAAGTGAACACCGACTTTAGACTAATAACCTTCTCAGCAGTATACTGTCCCCCACGACATAAAATTTCAAAAGAACAGCTTGAAAATTACTTCGGAAAACTGGGAAACAAATTTATATCTGGAGGTGACTTTAATGCAAAGCATATAATGTTTGGTTCAAGACTCTCAAACCCCAGGGGCAGAACTTTTTGTGACTACATCCACAATAAAAAATTTGCGATCATATCAACTGGAGAACCAACTTACTGGCCGACCGATTCAACAAAAGTACCAGACCTACTGGACTTCTTTATTTCCAGCGGAATATCTAACAACTATGTGCATGCTGAATCTAAACTAGATTTATTATCTGATCATTCTGCAGTTATATTAGTAATCAGTAGAAAAGTGATTATCAAAACGCAGCAACCAAAATTAACAAATCCACTGACCGACTGGAAACTACTTGCAACCAAGATTGATTCAAAAATAAATCGTAGTACTCGTTATGGAAAGCCACTAGAATAATTAAAAGACCCAAGGTGCACAACCCCCCTATGAAACACAACGGAAATTGGGCCAGAAGTAATCAAGAAAATGCTGATGCATTTGCTAACCATCTATCCGAAGTTTTCAAACCTCACTCGGTTACGGCCAACAATGACTGGACAGAGGAAATTGAAAACTTTCTTACATGTCCACTACCACTAGATCTGCCACTAAAATGGTTCTCTCCCACAGAAATCAAAAAGAAATTAATTTGTTAAGAAATAGAAATGCTCCTGGACACGATCTAATTACATCACATATTTGAAAAAAGCCTACAAAAAAAGCAATAGTATTCATAACCCAACTCTTCAACGCCATAAGACGCACCTCTTACATTTCAAAACAATGAAAAATTTCACAAATCATCATGATCCCGAAGCCTGGAAAGGAAAGTCATTTGCTATCATCTTATAGGCCAATAAGTTTACTTCCATGTCTATCTAAATTATTTGAAAAAGCACTTCTTCATAGACTGAAACCAATCATCGGCAAGAACAAATTAACTCCTGACCACCAATTTGGCTTTCGCAATCAACACGCGGCAGTCGAACAAGTCCACAGAATTACTGCAAAAATCTCCGAATGTCTAGAGAATAAACTATATTACTCTGCAGTGTTTATAGACGCACAACAAGCATTCGATAGAGTATGGCATAAAGAGTTACTCTACAAAATTAAAAAAAACCTACCCCAATTTTATCTATTATTCAGTTCATACCTAAAAGGCAGAACGTTTCAAATCAAGGTAGATGATGCGATAACCAAATCTTATAATATTATTGCCGGTGTTCCCCAAGGCTCAGTGCTGGGACCCGTTTTGTTCTCTTTATACACAGCGGACTTTAGCTGCAACAAAAAGTCCACTCTGGCCACCTTTGCAGACGACACAGCAATCTTAGCAGCCGATGAGAATCATTCACTGGCTTCTAAGAAAGTACAGGAAAACCTTAACATGTTAGAAGATTGGCTGCAGAAGAGTAAAACCACTAAAAACAATCAAATCGGTCCCTATTTTGGAAAATAAATTTTCTGCAGCCCTTACTAAACTTTTCAATATTTCTCCACACCTTTCAAGTTGCTAGGACGTGGTAAAATTGAATAGTCAAATAATCCAAAATTTGGTGCACAGTTTTTTCCGTTTGTCACTTTCAGGTGTTTGTTCACTCTATTCCTGGTCGCATGTGAGTGATTAACAAAACCTTTAAAGTGTTTTCATTTATGGATACAAAATGCATACATAGACTGATTACTTAATAATGTGTGCGGGCACAATCACTTAATAATGTTTAACCATAATATCACTACAATGTCTTAATTCCAGGTCAACACCTACGAGGAGGAAGGACCGAACAAAATCAAAGTTCCCATCTTTGTCAAGACGAATTGCAATGAAAATGTAGAGGAGTTTGAGTGTCTGCGAAAACAGCGACTGGAGCACCAAAGGGCGAAGTTACTCAAGTATATGGAGCTGTTAAAAGCCAACAAGGGGCAAGATGGGGCTCAGATTGTCAAAGCCATTATTAAATAAACGCAGATTAAAAGAGCAAAAAATCAGTATATAAAATCACCATTCAAATACAGGAATAAACTTTGTAAAAATCAGCCGCCGTCTTAAAGTTGAAATTGTTGAATTTGATTAAACGTCCTGAACGTTGATGCATCATTTATCCCCTTGGGAAGTGGAGACGAACTGGGTGTCTTTACCAGTCTTTTTGATTATTTCCAGCACTTCATCTGCTGCAAGGGCAGTTCTCACTTTAACCTGCTGGGCCTTCAAGTCGATATCAAAATGCTCGATCTTATCTAGAAGATAAACACCTCAGTAACTCGAAATGAGCGTGTTTGCTTTGCACTTACTCTTCTGTTTGTTCAGGACCCGTTCCACAGCACCTGAGCAGCCCTCGCAAGTCATTGCCACTTTGTATTCGTGCACTTGGGCCTACAATGCCAAAAAACTCCAATTTTGAGGTTTCAAATTGACGAAAACTAGTACTTACCATTATTCTAAATGATGTCGCCGATGGCCAGGAACAATACTATCACTTCGTTCAAAGCGTTTATTTATTCATGAATCAGAACACCGATTAATTTCGATTGTTTACGTGTCGGCAGTACCAAGTGGGTTCGACACGTAAATACTTGATAACATTAAAGACAATAATACAAAATACAACTGAAGATGGATGGAGGCGGTAAGAGTTGACAGTCAGATGTTAAATATCACTTAACGGCTAGCTTCACGTTGATGCCATTTTTACGGGGGCGGTCGAAAGAGTAGCACAATTAGTGCATAGTTCAAAAACGGGTTTTTCTATTGAAAGTAGGCTATAAACTGAATTTGTTCACCTAGAACTATAGAGAAAGTAAAATAAGTATTTATTTTACTTTCTCTATGCCTAGAACTGTATTATATGGTGAACGTGTCGTTAGAGTCCCTCCGAACTTTCAGTTTTTTGTGTTTTGCTGTAAAAACCAATTTAAATTAAGCAGTTTCAGCGATAGAAAATCCAGGACGGTCCATATAATAAGCCAAAAAACACTCACAAAGTTTGAGGAAAACCACCTTTTTGAGAAAAATCACCAAGAAAATTTTGAGCGGTGTTGCCAAACGGTGCAACATTTTTTAAGTTAATTGAAATGGTGATCGTGTCGTTTGAGTCCCTCCGAATTTTTTGTTTTATCTTGTTTTCCTTTACAGAACAATTTAAATTAAACAGGGAAAGAAAATCCAGGATGGTTCATAAATTACGCCAAAAAACACTCCCAAAGTTTGAGAAAAATCACCAAAGATATTTTGAGCGGTGTTGCCCAACTGCGCAAAACGTTTTAAGTTAATTGAACAGGTAATCGTGTCGTTTGAGTCCCTCCGAATTTTCAGTCGAGTCTCTTTTTTTAGAGACGGAAAAAATCGGGGATTAAGGCGATGTGGGCAAAAGCTTCAGCATTTTGAGCCTGTCTATGGACTGTGAAAGTTTCAACGGGCTGCTTGCTCCAGATTGCAAGTTGAGATTTTTTTAAGCAAAATGCTTTTGGCAAAAACGACCGTTTTTATGCCAACTTTTCCAAGCCGGAAAAAATGGGTGATTAAGGCGATTTGGGCAAAAGTTTCAGCATTTTGAGCCTCAGCTGTCGTTTTATGGACTGTGAAAGTTACAACGGTCTGCTTGCCCCAGATTCCAAGTTGAGATTTTTTGAAACAAATAGTGCGTTTGTCGAAAACGCCCCATTTTATGCCAAATATTCCAAGTCGACAAAAATCAGGAATTAAGGCGATGCGGGCCAAATTTTCTGCATTTTGAGCTTCAACTGTCATCTATGGATTGTAAAAAATTCAAGATCTACTTGCTCTGGATTGGAAGTGGGGACTTTTTGAAGCAAAGATTGTGTTTGGGCGGAAACGTCCATTTTTATGAAAACTTTATCAATTCAGCAAAAATCAGGGATTAAGGCGATTTGGATATAATTTTCCGCATTTTGAGCCGCCACTGTCTTCTATGGACTGTGAAAGTTACAAAGGTTTACTTGCTCTGGATGGGTAGTTGGAATTCTTTGAAGCAAAGAGTGCTTTTGGCAAAAACAGCCTTTTTTATGCCAACTTTTCCAAGTCGTCTAAAAACAGGGATTTAGGAGATTTGGAGAAAATTTTCAGCATTTTGAGCCTCAACTGTCTTCTGTGAGAGGTGACAGTTTCAAGGGTATGCTTGTTTCAGATTGGAAGTCGGGATTTTTTGAAGTAAAGAGTGGTTTTGATCAAAAACGCCCTTTTTTATGTCCACTTTTCAGGCGATTTGGACTAAATTCTCAGAATTTTGAGCCTCAGCTGTCTGCTATGGACTTTAAAAGTTTCAACGGTCTGCTTGTTCCAGATTCTAGCAAGAGTGCTTTAGGTGAAAACGCTCCAGTTGATGGCAAATTTTCCAAATCGGCAAAAATCAAGGATTAAGGCGATTTCGGCAACATTTTCCACGTTTTAAGTTTTAACTGTCGTCTGTCGACTGTGAAAGGTTCAAGGGTGTGCTTCCTCCAGGTTGGACGTTGAGGTTTTTTGAAGCAAAGAGTGATATAATTTTTGAAGCAAAGAAACTTTTCCAAGTCATGCTTAACTTCGGAAATGAATGTGCTATTTATCACTTTATCCACTCATGTAGAAATCCGGGCGGTACTTTCAATTTTTCCTCAGTTATGAGCAAGAGTCTTGTTTAAGTTATTAAACAAAACAAAAATTATTCAAATTCATTGCAAAATCCGCAATGGAAATTCATTTTGACCATTTTTGCATCGCAGGTCACACTCTTCGGTTTGAATATTTTGTCACTGCTGCATAATTAAACCGAAGTTGTTTTACCCGTTTTAGCTTTAAATTTCAATAACCATACTCTTCGACGTCGGTCTTCCATCCAAATAGTCAAATCAACAAACGCAGTGAATCGATATTAAAGCATATATTTTCGATACAAAAATAGACAGCAATCAACTAAAACACACAATAATAATAAATACAAATATACTATGGCCGGCCATACATATCCACAGAACATACTCTAAATAGACTTTATAGTACACTTAACAGTTTATCATCATCTAAATAATTTCTGATTAATAAGCATCATCAGAATAGTATTTTCTATATGTATAACTATACAGGATATACAGCTGATGCGAGAGTTTACTTGGAATCGGACTGAATAAAATGGCTTTGATGCCCAGAATTTGTGTCCTTCAGGGTAAGCTGAGGCTATTTATTCCGGGTATTATATCTGGAAAGGAAAGCGCTGGCCTCGAGCGAATCTTCGAACTAACTCTAAAACTACTCTGACTAGAGATCATCCACCGAAATGTTTTCAACTTCTTCAAGAAATTGTCAAAATAACCAGCTCAAGATAAATGGCCAGCGTGAAAGCAGACTTCGATAAATCTCAGTTCTGTTAGATAACGATAATTATATTGTCAATTATTGTCGGTCGACATTCTGCGGGGGTTTTGATCAAGAAAATCTCTTTCGTCTCAACGTCACCAGTCCAGAAATTGCTATCACAGAAATAAGGAAAACTTTTCAATGCTCATTTACACTTAAGCGCGCAAATCAATGAATGAAGCAAAGCGACTTTAAGTCGTGGCACCCGGATTTAAAATGTTACAAATGCTCACGTACGAACCGGTCAGAAAGCCCAGAAACCCAATGGTGACTATTACAATATTTTTCCAAAGCATCCAATCGTTACGGGCCATTTTGTCAGGCCAAAATGTGACGATTTCCACCAAAGGAGGAAAAATCATCGCAAGAGCACTACTGCTAAAGGCGCCCACCAAGGAAATGACTGCGCCTAAATTTGGAATAGCGACAGCAAAAATAAAAGTGATAAAAACCAAGGCCGTACGTGTGAAGTACTCGGCATATTGGCGCGTTTTTTCATCTTGGAAATGGTGCTCAATGCTGGGCCAGATTATGTTGAAGGGCACGTAAAACTGCAGACTATAGGAAAGCAAGATCGCCACCGCCATCATCAGGCGCACGGATTGAGCCAAGCTACAAAAGAAAAAACGTCACAGGGGCAATAAACTTCAACCTCGGACCTACATTTCATCTGCGGGCAGCAGCAGCGTAACACTTCCCAAAACTGCTTTATCCCCATACTTCAAGTAGCCGAAGAAGCCCACAGCTGTATAGAGCACAGCCACTACGATCATTCCCCTATTCAACACACCATTCCAACCGCCAAAGTCCTGGGGATTCCTCATGTTGCTCTCTAAAGGCAGCACCTAAGTATCGCCGAGGAATAAGAGGGTTTGAGTAGTTTGAAAATGAAGAACTCTTACCACTCCAATGCCTTCAAAGGCATAAACAGCAGTTCCGAAGTACAACGGCAACTGTCCCCAGCTGGAAAAGGCATTGATTGTAGAGACAGGCGAAAGCCCTTGAAGCATGTAGAAGAACGTGATAATCAGCCCTGTAGACATGACGATTGAGGCGAAAAGAGAGGCAGGCGTCAAGTACTTCAAGCTCTTCACCCAGTTGAGCAGCACCAGCGGCACCATAAGAAACACAAAGTACCTGGAAGTGGATGGTTTGGATATTAGAAATGAAAATAATTGAACCAAGTTGGCAAATTTATTGCAGTTTTGTTTTCTGGAAGAGTTCTAGATGATTAACTGATCAAGCGGCATGCAGAAGCGAGCAATGGAAACAATGTTACACAAAGTAAGTGAAAAGTACACCTCCAAATGAAAGAGTTTCTTCTTTGGGGTTGTTCGTTTTCAACGTGGCCACTCTACGTGTGTTAAACGGTCAGGTGATTTCACTATTCTCTATCCTATGCAGTGTTCTTTGCTTCCTCAATGGTATTGTACCGTAGATGGCCGGGTATCAAACTCTTTCATCAGCTTTTATTCAACTCGGTATCACTTTAAATGCGGAACAGGAACAAACTAACTCCAAAATTACCGTCAACTTCACAAACAATAACAATAACCGACGGAAAACTCGCTCTTCCGACTCACGGGGTTCGACCTCTTCTGCACCCGGTCGCTCCTGTCACTTCACTGACCCCCGTTTGGTTCTCGTCGTCGCTTATATAGTTTCCTCCAGGTAACCCAGACAATTCTCGAAATCTCCAGCACAGGTGCGAAATTTCCCGCTTGTCAGTGTCATATTTGACAGTAAATGGGGCTCCCATTTACTGAAATACCATGAATTTCGATCCCCCCATTCCAAACGTGAGTACCCCAGGCCATTTCCGTTACAGTATATTTGTTAAATTCTTAACCTGGTAAAATGACTGGTGATCGTCCTCTACTCTTTCTCTTAGTATACAGGCTGATTTTGACATTTTGTGTTGCTGACGTTTAGCTTATTTCGTAACTCGTTAAGTTTCCCACAAGCTACTTTTGTCCCCATGATAAATTGTTATTAACTAGGTTTTTTTGCTATGAGCCGTGGAACAAACCGTGCTACCGTCGTAAAGTTGTTCGAATCGGGAAAGTCGCCAGCTAACATCACGAAACTCCTCCGTATTCCAAGAAACATGATCTACAAAACCATTAAACGGTATGAGGAGTGGATCGCAACGGAGGTCAGGCCTCGAAACGGAAGACCGACCACCGCAACGACTCCGGAGAACCTAAACCATACCTAAACAAGCTGAGTCGTCGAATCATGGAAAGTACATAAGAAAACTGGCCAAGGAGGGGGCGGTCAGAAAAACCGGCTGGAAAAGCCTGAAGTTTCGTAGCTGCAAGCTCGGAAGAGGTCATCAATTGGATGAGCGAATAAAGCGAGAATAACTCAAAAATGCGCAGCGACTCCTCGAAAAAAAGTCCATCAGGTCGATTTTATTCACCGACGAAAAGATGTTCACGATTGACCAATCGTCAGAATGACCGTGGATTTCCTCTGAACTTACTTGGTATTGTTCAGAATTTTCTGCTCTTTTAGCTTAAGCAAGAATTTTTAGAAAAAAACCCAAGTTAAGCGACGCCACTTTAAGAAATCCGTTATAGTGTGGGCAGGAATTTCGAAAAAACGGGAAGACGCCGTTGGTGTTCGTCGGGCGTGATGTCAAGATCAACGTCGAAATCTACCAAGAAGGCATTTTGAAGGACGTCGACACTTCAACAGGAATGGGCGCCGGCTCATGCCGCAAGGTCGACCATGGGTTTGTACAAAACCAACGTCTCTTCGTCGAGTCGTTCGAGTCGCCGTCTCAGACAAGACTTTGTGGCTGTCCAACTGGCCCGACTTGAATCCGATGGGCAATTTGGTCGATGGAGTAAAAGGCCTGTAATACCACCGTCGCGTCCCTGAAGCGTTCGCCCCAAACGTCGTGGGACGATGGGGTATGATATTTCATATCAGATCAAATATCAGAAAAAACATTTGCGACCGTCGTCAAAATTTCCGCAAGCGTCTGCAGTAGTGCTCGGAATTTTTTCTATCCAATCTGAAATTCGAATACTCGTTTAGTGGTTTATTCGAATAGCAAAATTATTCGAATACTCGAATATCCAACGAATATTCGAATAACCGAGTTTTCGAGTATTCGAGTTTTGACTAGACATAATTATTCGCTGTTTGAATATTCGAATACTCGAATTATTCGAGTTTGATTCCGAGCCCTAGCCTGAAGTCCTGTGTGTGGGCTGAAGGTGGCTATTTCGAATTGTTATTTATGTGTTTTGTAGAAAATTTGGTTGGCTTTCGAATATGTATAATTTTATTGAATTTTGATGTTTATTAAACAAGTTATGACTAAAAGAATTTGTCTCCGAACTTTTGCGTCACCCCGTATATATTTGTGTAGTTGATAAACAGCGGTTTGTGAGATTCATTTTCAGCTGCTGAATAATAATTCTGCGGACATTCTACGGTATTCCTAGCATTCATCTACAACTGATCATTTATTTTTCTCCTTGTTCTCTGCAGCTTTACAACCCTTGGTGGGTCTTGGTTGACTGCACAATAATTTCCAACCCTTCTATATCTTGCATCAGTTCAGTATCGTATCAGACTTCCGACATTTGATAATGTCTGGTTCGTCATAGAGCTCAGTTAGTTCGTTGTTTGTTCTTAGACGGTTGCTCTGTTCTTGGGTCTCTGCATAGTCCAAAGATTTTACGCAGAACTTTTCGCTCAAAACAATTCTGCTTGCGCTCGTTTTCCGTAGTAATTGTTTAAGTCTCACTCTCGTATCTGACCACTGGTCGTATGACACTTTTATATGTTTTAATTTTTGATCTTCGGGATATAATTTTGCTCATCAAAACTTCTTTTAGAGCGTACATGAATCAAGTGAGGCTGCAGCCTCACTGGATTCTTACCTTGACTTTGTCGGATAACTGTTTTGCTCGTTGATTACCACATACCTAAAACTTGTTACTCTCTCGAAATTGTACTCTCTCATTTTAACGTTTCGCCCTATCCTATCTCTTCTCGTTCTTTTACCAACACATATGTACTTCCGTCTGACTGTCAACTTTATTAATTTTGCCATAATTACGGTGTCTCCAACCACGACTATGTCCTCGGCGAAAGCTAGGACAATCCTTGGGCCATCAATATCACCAAAGAACCCCATGGTTAATTCCGCCGCTGTTATGGCTTTTTCCAAGGCAATGTTAAATAATATAGGGGAGGGAGAATCGCCTTGTTTCAAGTCACTAGACTCGCTCACCAAGACGTCTAGCCAGCATGGTGTTCTATGGCTAAATACCCATTATGAAAAGGCCAGGTATAAAGACTCAAGTACCCCAGGCAAGTCGAAGACTATCTTCAGAATCAGAATTCAGAATCTCGCATCTGGCAAAGAAACCTAACAGATGTAAAAAGAATAAAATCATGTACATCGCAACATACAATGCACTGACATTATTGTCGGAAGAACGGTTAACCGAACTTGAGTGCAAATTGGAAAATATTAAATTGGATATGGTGGGTCTTAGTAATGTTAGAAGACGTCTAGAACATCTCATTTCATCTCATTTCTTTAAACTCCGGACATAGTTTCTATTACGTAGGAGATGACAATAGCTCAGTGGGAGGAACTGGCTTCCTGATAAACAAGTGCACAAAACAAACATTGTGTTTCTGAAGAAAGTATCCAACATGATATACAAGAGTAAGATGCCTTGTCCTCAAACTCAAAAAAACTCGAAACTTAAAAGTTACTAGAAGAAGTTGTTCTCTAATTACAAAACCTGTTCCGAATTCATGTCTTCCTGATTGGCTTCCGCTATAGAAGACTATTTAGTTGCTGACCTTCATGCTTCCATTGCCTAGCCATTGAATTGCTGTTATATCTATTCGGCCTTTTTCTAGTTGTTCCACAGTATACGTGGATATGCCTGGCCTATACCAACTCTGTACATTCCACGTTCCGATATTCATAGTCTTTATACGTTGCGGTTTAGTTTTTCCATTTAAATCAGTCCGGTTCCGATGCGAAATTGCAGTTTTTATATCAGAGGTTTTTTTCGGGACGAGGGTGTCAACCTCGCGCCCAACCTTTATTTGGTCCGCAGAAGCTATTTTATTTCACTCCTACCCTCCATGTGTTACATGGCAAGCATCCCCTATCCGCCACTTGGGGACGTGAATTTGTTAAAACGTTCGACTGCGGTAACCAGTGCCTCCTTCTCGATCTGGCTGTAGTTTCGCCGAGACTTGGTCAGCTTTTTGCTCATATGAAATACTGCTTTCTCGTTTCAATCTCCATATGTTTGGAGCAGGACTCCACCAATACCAGTGTCACAGGCGTCGGCTGCCACTATGAGCTTCTGGCGGGCATCGTAGAAGGCGAGGAGCAACGGTCCAACGAGAATCTTTTTGATGGCCACGAAAGAATCCTTGTGTTGCTACCTCCACTTGAACGGTACGTCTTTGCAGAGTCTTCCAACGGCGATTTGAGTCTGTGGAGCCGATCAACAAACTTTCCATAGTAGTTGATCAGGCCTAGAAGAGCTCGCACGTCCTTTTGGTGGGCAGGTCGGCGTAAGTATTCCAGGGCTTTGATCCTAGCCGGGTCCGCGCTCACTCCTTGATCGCTGACAAGGATTCCGAGGTACTTCACCGAGGGAGTGTAGAACTTGCACTTCTCGTGGAGTCGGAATCCCATTGATAAAGTCGTTTCAGCACTTGATGTAGTCGTTGGTCATGTCCTTCGCGATCTGGAGCCATAATTAGGATGTCGTCGAGGTACACGATCACACTATCGATTCCGGCGAGTCAGGTCTCTAGAGTATGTTGGAAGATGGCCGGATTTGGCTTGAGTCCGAGCACCAGACGATTGTACTGGAACAGTCCTCTGTGTGTAGTGATCGTAATGAGCGGTCGGTATGCTTCATCGAGCAGAGGCTGGTTGTAGGCGTCCGAGAAGTCGAGTTGACTGAACACTTTGTTCCCACTGAACTTTCTACCCCTGAACTGGGGTACTCGTCCGATTGGAGAGCATCGTTAACTCCGGTCGCAAAGTCGGCAGATCTTTCCGGCGGATCTTTTACATTTCCACGGCGTGTAACAACGATTGGAGTGGCTCATTCAGAAGACTGCACTTTAGTCAACGTTCCATTGTTTACGAGGCGATCGATTACTGCGTTCAATGGACTTAGACGGCCAGTGCCACAGGTCGGCAGGGCCGGTGAACTGGGCTTCAAGCGAAGATGAACTTGTGCCTTCGCGTAGGTTCCAATTGGTCGTCCGAAAAGATCTTGATACTTTGCTTGAGGTGCACCGACGGAGACGTAGTTGACCTTGACAGTGTCGTCGTCTTTCCATGCCAAAAATCCAATCTGGTGAGCACCTCTTCACTGAGTGGACGGATGTTCTTCTTGACGACAAGGAGTGTCCCTTGTAGGAGAAGTTTACGTTCCTTACAGTTAAGTTTACAGTTCTTGTAGGCGTGCGTGTCGTGTCTACACCGATTGCACGGCGATCTTGATCTATGGATCTTTTTCCCTTTATCGATTTTCCTACCTTTCCGGTTTGACCTATCTTTCTTGTACGTGACGACATTAATGTCGAGTTCAGTCTCTAGACCTTCCGACGGTGGTGTTCGTAACGCGGTCGGAGTAGGCACGGCACATCTTGCATATCTTGATGAAGTTGACGGTTTTGTTTCCGCCAGGAGGAGTTTGAGCTTGTCCAAGTCCAGGTTGTCAAAGTCGAACAAGTCTCCATCCCAGTTGACCTCATCGAGCACGGTGTCGGTGATCCAGTTCGACGCTTAGGCGATGAGTCTCGAAACGACGTTTGCAAAAGAGTGCGGGTGTCGGAGAACAAAAATTCCAGTTCCTTGACCAAGTCGCTGAACTTCATCTCCGTTGGCTTCTAGGGTGAATTACCGCCGCAAAACTGGCGGTACTCCTGTTCGACCAGCACATTTAACAGGAGTTCGACTTGTTCTACGTCAGTCAAGAACATAGATGCTGAGTTGAAGGTGATTTCGTGCCGTTGATCAAACGTGCAACCTGACGTCGGGTCGTAGGTGAACGTTCTTAGTCGCTTCGCAATGTCGTCGAGCGAAGACTTTGGCGGTGTCCTCCCAGTAGCGTTTCGTAGCTGCTTGAGATCCATAAGAATCGCAGAAATTCTCTCCAGATGAATTTTGTCGATTCGGAGTTCATCGTTCAGGTTCGTAGCAACGCCAATTGATGGGTTTGGAAGCAATAGCCGAATAGTTGAATCAAGAACCGGTCTATTGTTAAACAATCGGTATACAATTTTCGAATTCACTCTAACTCCCTCACTAACTAACTCGCTACGGAGTCTGGCGGAGAATGTTCTCGAACATTACAATAATATCAGTCCTAACCTGGAAGATTCTCGAGCAGCAGATATTTTTTTCTTAACCGTCCACACCAGTCATGGATGATTGCGCCGGCGCGTCTCACTGCCATGTTGCCGCTATGCACATACTTGGTTTTTAACCGCCTGGCCTAATTGTTTCTGGTTAATGTTTGTTTGTGTTTAAGATGCAATCTTATAGCAGAAATAATTGTTATGTTGCATATTTTTCTGATTTTTCACAGGCATGCATATAATTAAAGTAAAGGTCATAGACAACATTTAAATATATCTGTTCATTACTTTATAAAGCAGAAAACAATCAAAAACAAACAAAATCCATGACTATTAAAACTCCAAGAATCCAAATCTTTACTGCGGGAACTAATTGTATAAATCACTAACGATGAAAGTAGCATGAATTTCAGCAACAGCCACTGAACTAAGAACGTTCTAGAATCTACAAGAAACCGTGTTTTTCTGAGGTTATAAATTCGTTCGCAATGGAAGTATCAAAGCGGCAACGCGGCAGTGAGACGCGCAAGCGCAATCAGCCCGGACTGGTGTAGACGGTTAAGAAAAAAATGTATGCTCTCGAGCATCATAATGCATTCCTAACCTAAAATGTTCTAGAATACTCGCTCGGCGGCAGAACTTCTGGACCCAACACCCCAGAGTAGATACATGCTGTATGGTTGAGGCGATAATATCAAATTTTGTTGAGTGTTTTGCCTCAAACTTTTTGTCTTTAAAAAATAACGGACATTCCTTTTTTACTTAACTAAGAAATGTTCGGCTTTTAGAACCGATTAATAAAAACTGCTCTAATTTCATCACCAAGCAATTCTCCTTTCTTTCTAAAAAAAAAAGCAAATGTAGAAAATAATTCAGGCAAACTCAAGGTTTTCAAGAAGGCAAAGACCTAAAAGGACGTTGATTTTTACCAATCATGAATTTGTGTAAATTTTAAACCTGATGATGGCGCTGTTGTCTCGCTGAAACGTAATGAAATAAACGATGTTTCAAAATTTTTACGTCACACTTTCACTGAGACCCAGGAAAGATAGGAATATCATAACAAGTACACGCAGTCAGGAACATAAATCAGAATTTATCAAAAAATATCTAAAAAGGGGTTAATTAATAAATTGTTAAATAAGCCTCAGTGAATGCAAAACTGGAAAAATTCGCTGTCAGAATCCCTTCGTTAATAGTTATTGATTTCCTTTTGAGAAACCCTGCCCTGGGACCAAAGAAGCAAAATATGCGGCCACACAAACAAAGCACTTCAGCATATTCCCAAAAAAATAGTTGTCAGCTAAATCGAAGAACTCACCAATAGACGGGAAGATCCACGAAATAATGCTTGACCACTTCCTGCAGATTAACAGCCACGAAGACATAGTAGACACAACAGAAGCCCATCTGGGTAATGAAGAGAAAGATGTTTAAAATGAACCTGAAACACGCACCCATTTTATTACACATGGTGAGACTTTGCTACTGAGCACTCACTTGGCCACTTTGGCTTTGCGCTGCAAAAATTCCGGCCCAGTCCTGCAGGCAGCCTCCACTACCTCAGCAAAGCTCAGAGAGGGCGTCTGAGTTCTTCGGCACAGCTCTCTTGAGCACTCCACCAACATATGCATACAGTGTGTGCAGATGATACCCATTGTCAATGTCCCAAACAAGCCTATGACCTATAGACGAATTAACTGGTGATATGAAAACGTCTACATGTAAACTAGTTTCTTACCCATCCAGCGTTCCTGAAGGCATCCGGCATAGCTAAGATACCAGTTCCAATATTTCCTTTCAGCAGATGTACCATGGTGTCGAAATTACTGGTTGGATGCTCAATGTTTCGGTTGCCGAGCAAATCATCATCAGCCGCAACATTCTCCATATCCACCACGGAGTTAGTAGGGACCGGGTGTTCCGAGTCGAGTAGCCGCTGCTTTTCTTCACTTTTCATAGAATGAGCCATTTTCGCAGCCATTGAATCCTAAAACAATTCAGTTTACCTTATTGTCTGGTCAATTCTAATGATATTCACGAACAGGCGTTATTGCTTAACGCGATTGGATGCAATTTAATGGGTCATATTTGTCGTTAATGATGATAAAACCTTGATACGTTATTGATTTTGATAATTGGAAAATTCCGATGTTTATCCCGTTTTTAATGTGACCATTCAGTAATTGGTAACATACAGAGTGTACAAATGATGCGGAACATTTTGTCATTTTGCTGGTTGACAAACTTGTTCGCTTTGTATTGTAGTGTGGTTCTTTACATTCGAAAAATATGGACATTCGGAGTCGAATATATAGACAGGATTACATTATTACTTGATATAATTTGTTAGTAAGTTGCACGTAAAAATGGTCCCTGGTTTCTTTCTCGATTACCGTAAGGAGCGGTACTTTATAATTTTTACGAGGTGTCCCATTGGTCTGAAACAGCTTCATTACGCCTCAGCAGTTAGGAATGGGCCAAAATCAAAAATACCGCGATTTCCTTATTTTGTCATCTACATATACTAAAATTATTTTCAAATACACCCGGTGTCCGAGAATAGCATCAGGGACATAAAGTTTCGTTTTCTAAATGGCTCACTCAAACGTTCTCTTCATTTCTGAATTATGCATTAAATTTACTTTCGTTTGGTACCCTACCTCGATTATTTCGACTAATGATTGACCGGCACTGTTAGATTTTTTTTGCGAAAAATTACAAGTACAAAGGGTATTTCGAAAACTAGTTTCTCAGATACAGTTTTTGTGTCTGGAAAGTATCAAATATTAAATGAAGGGTTAACTTTTTATTTTATTTTAGAGAATTTTAATTTTTGTATTTACTATTGCGTAAAACTTTAGGGCTTTTAGGGCGTCGTGTAACATAAATTCTTCCTGAACCTTAACAAAGTTTTGTGTTCCTAATAAATTTAAACTTGAGGAATGTTTTTGTTTGCAGAACAGCCATAGGCGTGCACTGTTTTGTTCTCTGGAAGTGATTAAACATAGTGTTCATTTTCTCGAACAGTCCATATAATATAATAAAAAACTGTGCATTTTAGCAAAAACCCTCAAATAAGCTTTTTGTTCCCAACTGAATGTAGATTGATAAAATAATTTTTGTTGGCAGAAATACCATTGGCATACCATTTTTCTATCCGGAATCGATCAAATCTTAAATATAGCGTCATTTCTTGCGAAAAATCCAGCATTTTTTGTTTGGTATACAACTGTGCATTTTAACAAAAAAAAACTAAAACAGTTTTTTTGTACTCAACTGTTGTTTGAAGACAACAACAACGGTTTTCGCTTCTTTAAACCAAAACTGTGCATTTTAGTGAAAAACCCAAAATAGCTTTTTTGTTCCTAATTGAATTTGGATTGCGAACGTAATTTTCGTTTACAGAACGGTACACCTTTCGTTTACACAGCTATTAGCCTGCTTTGTTTTATGTCTAGAAAAAATCGCAGGTAAATTTTAGAGTCTCCGACAATTCAACGTTTTGATTTTTTTCGCTAAAAACTGTGCGTATCAGCAAAAAAACCGAAAAAAGCTTTTTTGTTCCCAACTGAATTTAGAGTCAAAGAGGAATTTTTGTTTGAAGAATAACCATAGTTGTGGATAGTTTTTCTATCTGGCAAGTATCAACTGCTAAATATAGCGTCAATTTTCTCGGACAATCCAACGGTTTTCATTTTTTTAAACCAAGAAAAAGCTTTTTTTGTGCATTTTAGCAAAAAACCCAACAGAGCTTTTTTAGTTCCCAACTGAGTATAGAATTCGAACATAATTTTCGTTTGCAGAACAGCTATTGGCCTGCTTTGTTTTCTGAGAAAAAAAGCTTTTTTGTTTCCAATTGAATTTAGAATCAAACAGTAATTTTTGTTCGAGGAACAACCACTGTTGTGCATAGTTTTTCTATCTGGAAAGTATCAAGTGTGAAATTCAGCGCTAATTGTTTCGGACAAATCAACGGTTTTAATTTTTTAGTGAAAACTGTGCGTTTCAGCAGAACAACCTGAAACGGCTTTTTCCAATGTCACCAACTGAATTTGGAATTAAAAACTAATTTTTGATTGCAGAACAACTATTGACGTGCACTGTTCTGGTGTCTGGAAATTATTAAATGTTAAATATAGTGTTAATTTTCTCTCCGTTTTTTTTTTCAACAAAAAAACGGTGTCTCACCGAAAAAACTTTTAAATAGCGCTAATTTTCGCAAATTTTTTCATCAATGTTCGTGCATTTTTGCAGAAAAAATTACAAGATGCTTGTAGTTTCCACCTGAATTTGGAATCAGAAAAGAATTTTTGTTTGCCGTAAAGCTAGCACCGTTTCTCTGTTTGGAAAGTATTAAATTCTAAATATGTATAGTGTGAAGTTTCGCGGACAATCCAACGGCTTTTACTTACTTTTGCGAAAACTGTGCATTTGAGGAAAAAACCCAATATACAGGGTGAGTAGATGCATTCCTTGCAGGGGGTGATAGTGCAATTAATTTTGGATATATTTGGTTAATAGACCAGGTTCCGAAAACCATTAGTTTCCGATCTACAGGGTGTAAAATTTTTTATTAAAAAAATGTTATTTATTAATATTTCGACAACCGCATGGACCATTATAATAAAATTTGACAGGCTTAAGCAACTAAAAACAATACACTATTTGCGATAAAAATGTAGTTTCTATCTTTTCCAGTGGCGTGGCTACAGGCACGTCTGTGGATAATTTTAAATAAAAAATGTTACGCCACTGATCTTTCTAAAAATAAATAATATTTGTCAAGTTCCTGTTCAATTGGGAAGAGAAAAGGTCTCTTGACTTTTTTTCTACGCCGCCCCTTTTGCGAGTAACCAAATTAAAATCGATTTATTGTACAGCGTAATCGGGTTTTTATTAAAAAGTTGGCTCTGCACTAGTTTTTGTCACTGATTGACAAAAGTAATAATTGCTGTCATTTCGAGTGTTTGAGTAACTTTAGTTGTCACTTTGTTTTTGCGATTAATGTAATTTCGAGTAAGTTCACATAAGTTGAAAACTTTATTTGTTGAAATGGCTGAGTTTTCCAAAGCTGAATACGCAGATATTCTTTACATTTATGGACTTAAAATACACAGCGACAAAAATAGTGGCGGCTTCCAAATATCCGTTTCTTTGCAAACAACTATCGAAGGGTCAGTGAGTCAAGAAAAGTACAAGGTAGGCAAATTCACGTAGGAGCAAACTGTAAGGGAGTACCTTGATCAGCGTTTTCCTAATCGATGGATGGGTAGAGGACGCCCCATATATGGCCTGCTAGAAGCCCAGATCTAACTCCGTTAGACTTTCACGTATGGAGTAGGATGAAAGAGCTGGTTCATGCCGGAGAAATACATACAAGGGACGAATTAATACAGTGCATTACAGATGCCGCTATTACACATACATTTTCGGCCAGGGTAACCCGGACAGAAATAAGAAGGTAGGTACATGCATGCGTTAGAGAAGGCGGCTTTATTTAAATTTTTTTCCGTATCAAAGCAAGCTTGGTGCTCATTTCAATACTAAGAATAAGTAAAATTTTAATTAACAGGTAAATTAATCTAATAGGTAAAAGACAAATAAAGAAACTCTAAGACTGATGTCAACTGCGGCTAGTAATACTTTTTGTAATAAAATTGATATAATCTAACTGCGCAATTTTTGTGCTACTACTGTCTTTATACTAACTACAACCCGAGTACGCTATGCATTAAATCGATTTTAATTTGTTTACTCGCAATCGGGACGGCGTAGAAAAAAAGTCAAAAGACCTTTTCTCTTTCCGATTGAACAGGAACTTGACAAATATTATTTAATTTTATAAAAATCAGTGGCGTAACATTTTTCTAGTTAAAATTATCTACAGACGTGCCTGTACCCACGCCACTGGAAAAGATAGAAACAACATTTTCATCACAAAACGTGTATTGTTCTTAGTTGACTAAGCCTGTCAAATTTCAATATAATATTCCAAGCGAATTCCGAAATATTAATAAATAACATTTTTTTATTAAAACTTTAACACCCTGTCGATTGGAAACTAATGGTTTTCGGAACCTGGTCTATTAACAAAATGTATCCAAATTTACTTGCACTATCACCCCCTGCAAGGAATGCATCTACTTACCAAACACCCTGTATATTTTTGGTTCCGAACTGAACGTTGCATTTGCAGATAATTTTTATATGCAAAAAGCAATGTCGTGCTCCGTTTCTCTGTCAAAAAAATGTTAAATGTTAAAGATTTAAGTTTGTCGGTAAATCCAATGGTTTTCATTTTTTCAGTCTAAAGCTATGCATTTTATCCAAAAAAATCAAATGAGCATTTTTGTTCCGAACTGAATGCAGAATTTTCCTCAATGCCAATTAGTTTCGTTTACAAAAAAATCATTGGTGTGCAGAGTATTAAGTATTTCAGATAATCCTATTTTTTTTCAGCAACTGTGCATTTCATCAAAAAAAACTCTTTAAAGTTTTTTCTTCCCAATTAAATGCAAAATTCGGAAGTAATATTTGTTTGCAGAACAGCCATTGGCGTGCTCCGTTTTTCTGTTTGGAAAGTATCAAATGTTAAATATATCGTCCGTGTTCTCATACAATCCAACGGTTCTAACTTTTTAAATAAAAAGCTGTGCATTTTAACGGTTTTTGTTCCCAACTAAAAGTAGAATAATAGAGTAGTTTTTAGTCCAGAACAACCACTGCCGCGCACTGTTCCTGGGTATGGAAATTATCAAATGTTAAATTGGGCGTTAATTTTCTCCGACAATCCAACGGTTTTCAGTTGTTTGCTCAAAAACATCCTTAAAGGGCTGTTCTGTTTCCAACTGCATGTGTTTAAAATTAAAAGGTAGTAACAAACCCCACATGCAAAACCTTCTTCGAAAAGGTTTCAAGAAGGCAAAGAGCTAAAAGAACGTTAATATTTACCAATAATGAGTTTGTGTAAATTTAAGAAAAACCCTAAGTTTCCAAATTCCAAATGAAATCTAAAGTTGAGGAATATTTTGAAAACAACTATTGGAGTTCTCTAGAAATGATGACATTTTCTCGGACAATCCAACGGTTTTAATTGTTTGAATCAAAAACAGTGCATTTCAGCAAAAACCCTCAAATAGTTACAATCGCCTTATCACTAAGACTGCATTTCAGCCAGACGCAATTCAGCATCTTAGTGTCTATTGTTTAAGATTGTTTTCCTTAACATGCAAGCCCAAGATTATATTCATTCTCATCCTGTACTCGCTTCAATAAAGTCGTTTTTTAAAAACACGTTTGTTCGAGACCACATAGTAACTAAATGACCTTTTTGTTCCCAACTGCATATAGATATATAAAATAATTTTTTTATCATCTATCAAATTAATAAATGTGGAAACTATAGCGTTATTTTGTCGGAGAATTCAATATTTTGCATTTTTTGATCTACAACTGTGCATTTCAGCAACAACCCAAAACAGTTTTTTGTTCTCAAGAGCTTATTGAATTAAAAATACTCATTGATTGTAAACAAACCATCGGCGTGAAAAGGTTTTTCGTCTGGAAAGTATCACTTGTTAAATTCAGCAGTAATTCCCTCGAATATTCTAATGGTTTCGTTTTTTTTTACTTAACAATTGTGAGTTTAGCAGAAAAACCCAAAAGATATTTTTCGCTTCAAACGCAATTTAGAATTAGAAAGTAAGTGGTGGACCTAGTTTTTCTGCCTGGAAAGTATCAGATGTAAAATTTAGGAATAATTTGCTAGATCAATCCAACGGTTTTAAGTTGTTTAGTCAAAAACTGTGCGTTTCAGCACAAAAACCAAAAAAAAATACTTCCGTTCCCCACTGAATGTAGAATTAAGGGCCGTTTGCACCGTTTTATATTAAAGCCAAGCTTACATAAACCAACCTTAAAAATTAAGCTTTAAAGTAAACGGCTTGCACCGTACCAATCTGTTGTTGGCTCTGTTAAGCCGGTGTCAAGGAGATCTGTTTGTCATATGTGGAATTATGACCGTTTGCTGCCATGATACAACATGTATTCATTCTATCTATTAGACATTAGAATTTTTTCGATTGAGCAGATAGATCGAGGGATTAACCTCAGTTTAGAACCCGTTTAAGACAAGATTCCTAAATTGTACAATTTAGGAACCTTGCGTTTAGAGTGTTTTCCAACCCAACGTTCATATTTTAAAAACCTTTGGTTTTTAACAGTTTTTTATTAAAATTTTTTATATAGTTATTGAAATTTTATTTTGTACTGATATGACGCAAATTTTCGAAATAATTAATGAATTGTTGTAGTGTAGTGTTGCGGTGATTTTGAAGATTATTTCTGGTTTCATTTTGCAATTGACCAATATCACTTAAATAATCCAATTCATTTATATTTGTGGTGGTTTTGTAGAACCCAAATATTGTTTTTTTTTTACAAACTGCTTGTTGGGTATTTCGCCTCAAAAAATTAATTTGATTTTATAATAATAATCACATAACTGACAATTTGCACAGACGAATTATCAGAGCGAATTTTCAGATACTGTATTATCCTACTATTGTTACACAAGTTATACCATACAACTCTTTTTTAGGTTCTTTTGATAACGATGGCAGAAAATAGCTATCGAAATGTCAAGGTAATTGTTTCAAATTAATTTCTTTACTAATTGGAATTTTCTCTTACATCTTGAGCGTAAGTGTGTCGCAGGATACCCTCTAGGTGATAGTTCTTGATTACGTTTTGATAAATAATTCGTTCTTATTGCGAAATAGGAGCACTATTTATCAATCTGTAATAAAAGACCTGAGAAAATTCTGTCTTTTGAAAAATTATCTCAGTCTCAAAAATTTTTGAGGCGAAGTACCCAACAAACAGTTTATAAAAAAAATGAATCCGCCTCAACAATATAGAACTTATCTACAACTTGATTATTTCTGTTATATATCGTCTTTGGAAATCGAAATTCGATTATTTTTGTTTATTACCGTAATTTTCAATTTTGTTAACCATCGCCACATGTATGAAGAAGGAAAACGAAGGTTAGAATTGACGGCTTAACACCATAAGCCACCAAAGTTGACGGCTTAATTTAAGCCGAGCTTTGAATGCTGTAAGCCTGGTTTATAATGGGGTGCAAACCAATTTTATTTTAGCTTAAGAGCTTAATGGCAAAGCCAAGCTTATTTTCAACGGTGCAAACGGGCCCAAGAGTAATTTTTTTTTAAACAATTGGCGTACACTGTTTTGCTGAGGCGGAAATTATCAAATTTAGTTTTCTCGGACAATCTGACTGTTTTCATTTTTTCAATCGGCAAAAAACTGAAATGAGCTGTTTTGTTCCCAACTGAATGTAAATAGAACTAGTAAGTAATAAGTACTTCCAAAGCAGCTTTTGATGTATCAGGAAATTTTCAAACGTTTAATTCAAATTTAGCGTGCATTTTCTCGTACAACAGTTTTTATTTTCTTATCTAAAGTTCTGCCTGCAACCAAGCCAAACGGGCTTTTTGGTTCCCAACTTAAAGTGGAATTGAAGCAAAATTTTCGCTGTAGAAAAACCATTAGCGTCCATCGGTTGTAACTTTTGATAATTAGGAACCTGTTGCTTTCGCCGGCTAATAGAGGAATACATGAGCTTTTTACCGTTTTTATGTCCAGAAAGTATCAAATGGTAAATAAAGCGTTAATTTTCTCGGATAATTCTGCAATTTTCATTGTTTTTACTAAAATCTGTGCTGTTCAACAAAACACTCGAAATGAGTTTTCATTCCCACATGCTATAAAATGAATTAGCTGTAAAATTTAGCGTAAATTTTCTCATACAATCCGATGGTTTTTATTTTTTAATCAACAATTGTGAATTTTAGCCAAAATCACAAAAGATCGTTTTGTTCCCAACTTCGCGTAGAATTAGAAAATATTTTTGCATAAAATGCATAAGTGTGCACCCTTTGCCTGTAAAATATCGTTTGCTCAAAATAGATGAAAATGACCGACAATGGGGTAGATAATAATTGCAGATTTAATGCCTAATTCAGAAATGATGATCAAACTTGATCTGTGTTTATTTTTTGTCTGAACTGTTTAGACGTGATGAAGCTTTTTACACTACTAGAACACTCTGTATACAGTCAAAAAACATTGAATTACGTGCCTTTGTGACAATTGAGTAAATTTTCAAATTAACGGAATGAAAAGGTTTAATTGTCCCAAGCTTGATACACCCTGTAAAAATCCAGGGCACAGTAAGACGTAAAGACTAAATTTAAATTTGAAACTCAATAAAGTGGATTTAGCGACAATCTAGACTGTTTTATTGCAGGTGATCTGATAGATGACCTCTGCATAACTGAGGCTGCTTCAAACCGGTAATAAAGCGTATGCATGCAATAACCGTCAAGTCTGTGATGTTTGCGAGTGTTACACATCTTTTGTTTATATAGAATTACAACAACATTATTAATAAGCTCGATACTGATAATGAGGAATGTTTGTTACCGAAGCGGGAATGGAAAAATTCGAATTATTCAGCGAATCGATGATGAGGGTCTTTAAACATGCAGCCGCAACAAAGACTGACAATGGGGAATTTTCCATTCAATTACAAGATTCTATAGGAAACAGCCAGTTGCGTTAATTACAGAAGTTACGTTGACCAGGAAATTATCAAAATACTTACAAACGAGTTGTTGAGGGAGCCATAAAACTGTCTCGTTTTTTCCATTTTTTCCGGCACTAGCTTCCTGACACCGATTTGCTAACAAAAAAAACACTGTCCGTCCGTCGTTAGTGTAGGAATTGATTAGTGTTAAGCGCCGCTGGATATTTAGCTGCACGAAGAAACGTCGTCTACGCTCCCCACCGATTTTTGAGTAATCTACACACTGCTCGAGAATTGAATTGATGTTATGATGATCGTGATAACTGTTTTTGGAAAATTACTCCAAAAAAGGCTCAGCTGTTCATATACCGCATATCACGCAGAATATAAAAACCCCATAATTGCCGTTTGGTTCCTTCGTTTTGCTTGATTATTGCATGTGCTCTTTTGGGTCAAACTTGAAATGACAAAATCGAAATTTAAATTTCCGTTACTTAAGAAACATGGGGAAAATTAAAAAACTGTCAATTTCAAAGGACGATACTTTTTCCTAATTAGAAGAGATACAGGAAAATGCTTTATGCAAAAGTGCCCTTAGAATCATTGTTGAATAATTGGCCAATAATATTGGAATAATAATTTTCATCTGAGCAGAAGGTATTTTAAATTATCTTTCGAAAATATGACACATTGTGAGTGATTTTGGTTTCCTCAGAAATGGACTTGTCTTCACTCTGGAATGAGCCCAATAAACGACCAACTTTGAAATTTTAAACAGTGGAAAAAAGCGCAGATTTTGGGCTTAAACAGGCAGTTTTCAAATGCGGAAATTGGTTTTTTGAAACCCACTACTCTCTTCATCGCAGGGCGAGCCAATATGACATTACATCGAACCGAAGAAAGCGTAGATTTCGGGCTCGCAGACGCAGTTTTCAGATGGCGAAAGTTTGTAAAAGCCCTGGAACTACAAGCGAATGATACCGCAGCGTTCGATTATTGAAATCACACTCTTCCTCTTAGAACTTTTAAATGCCAGAAGTGCGAAAAATCGTCGGAAGTACGGCAGAATTACACCGGAAAAGCTAGTTTTTTAAAACCTGCCACACTTTTCTTTCCGAACGAGTCCAATCAAGAGCGGCATTGGAAATTTTAAAACAACCTGAGAAGGCGTAGATTTCAGGATTTCAAATGCCGCGTTCAGGTGCCCGAAGTTTGTAAAGGCGCTGGATCTACAGCCATATTACACAGGGAAAAATGCTGTCTTCCCTAACAATCCCTATCAAAGGTCGATTTAAAAATTAAAAAAAAACTGAATTAAGCGGGGTTTTAGTCCTTCAAATGCAGTTTTCGGACGCCGAAAGTTTGAATCAAAATATTCCACATTCTTCACCTCGCAACGACCCGAACAAATCGATGGCTTTCAAAATCATCAAACACTTATAAAACAAGAGCAAATTAATCATAGACTTTGGGCTTTCAGATACCAGAAGTTTGTAAAAGAGCTGAAACTACATGGAAATGATATCGGAAAAATTTTTTTTTTTAAACCTTTTCAAAAATTTACACTGTTCCTATCAGACCAGGCCTAGTTAAAGCCCGATTTTTAAATATAAAAAAGGTGAAAAAGGCGTAAATTTGGAGTCATCAGATGCCGAAAGATGTTCGTAAAAGCCTTGAAACTAGGGCCGAATTTCACTGCAAAATTTAGTTTTTTGAAAGACGCCACCCTTTTTCAACCATTTTGTTGATTTTTCTATTTCAGATCCATGTTTCAATTACAATCCATGCCATTCCAGAAGTTTGTAAGAGCGCTAGAACTACAGACAAAAAAGTTGTTTGTTGAGTTTACGCGAAAGATTTCGCTATTTCGAACCTTCCACACACTCTTCACCCAAGAATGAACCCAGTTAAGAGCAGATATTAAAATGTTCGAAAAGCGAGCAAAGCAGAGATTTCAAGCTTTCAGACGCAGCTTTCAGATACCGGAAGTTTGTATAGATGTTGAAACTACGGTCTAACTTTATTGGAGAATTTCACCGGATTTTTTTAGACTCCACGTTCTTCTTTTCAGAACAATCCTATTCAAAGGCTGACGTTGAAATTAGAAGAAAAATAGGAAAAACCGTAGAATTCAAGCTTTCAGACTCGGCTTTCAGATGACGCAAGTTTGTAAAAGCAATGGAACTACGGTCGAAGTTTATCGAAAAAGTTGGTGATTTTCAAATTGCAAAAAAGAAAAAAAAAATAGGAAAAATTTGTTTGTTTCAACCTTTCACACTCTCCCCTTCAGAAGAGTACTAATCAAAGGTCGATTTTAAATAAAAAAAAAACGGAAGTTTATAAAAGCTCAGGAACCACGAGCGAATGATCCCGGAAAAGTTCCCAACTCAAACCCGTCAAAACAAGCCTAATCAAAGGGCGATTTTAAAATACGTATTTAAAAAACTGAAACGAGCGTAGATTTCAGGCTTTTAAGTGCAGCTTCCAGACGCCGGAAGTTTGTAAAAGCGCTAGCACTAAAACCCTCCACACTCGTCCCTTCAGAAGAACACTATAAAAAAAAACGAAAAAGTGTGGATTTCGAGCGTTCAGATGCAGCTTTCAGAAATTGCAAGTTCATATAGACCTTGGAACTTCGGTCGAATTTCACCGGAGGAGTTCATTTCTTGAAACCTTCCAGGTTCTGCACCGGGCAAATCGATGATTTTTAAATTACATAAATGCGACTAAATCATGGATTTTGGGATGTCAGAGGCAGCTTTGGGATGCCGGAAGTTTCTGAAGGCGCAAATATTACGAGCGAATGATACCGGAACTACAGAAATAATAAGATTTTAGACTTTCAGACGACGCACATTTCAAATGCAATCTACGCCATTCCAGAGATTTGCAAAAGCGCTGGAACTACAGGCTGAAAAATATCGGGAAAAATTGTTTGTTGCAACCCTTCACACCCTTCCCTTCAGAAGAAGACTAATCAAAGTCCGATGGTGAAATTAAATGACAAAAAAGCGTGGATTTGGGGCGTTCAGACGCAGCATACAGGTACCGGAAGTTTGTGAAAGCGTTAGAACTATGATCGAATTTCACAGCAAAAATAATTTTTTTCGAAACCGCCCACGTTCTGCATCTGGCAATGATTGGAATAAGCGATGGTCGCAAAATTACAAGAAGAAGAAATTATAGATTTTGGTCTTTCCGACGCGGCTTTCTGAAAACTGCGGTAACTCCAGGTAAATAATATAGGAGAAGTTTGTGGTTGCAACCCTCCACACTCTTTTCTACAGAACAAGCCTGATTAAAAGCCAATTGTTTAATTATTAAACAAATAAAAAAAGTGTATATTTCTGAGGTTCAGATGCAGCTTTCGAATGCCGAAAGGTTATAAAAGCGCAGGAGCCACGAGCCCCTCCCGGAAAAGTTCCAAACCCAAACCCTCCACACTCGCCCCTTCCGAAGAATCCTAATCAAAGGCCGATTTTTAAATATAAACAAAAACTGAAAAAGCCTACATTTCAGGCATTTAAGTGCAGCTTCCAGGGCCGGAAGTTTGTAAAAGCGCTAGCATTACAATCGAATGATGTCGTAGACATTGGTTTGTTGCAACCCTCTACACTCTCGTGTTCAGCAGAAGGCTAATGAAGGATTGATTTTAAAATAAAAAAAGCAGAAAAAGAACGTAGATTTCGGGCTTTCAGACGCAGCTTACTGATGCCGGAAGTTTGTAAAAGTATTAGAACCACGGCCGAATTTGACTGAAAAAGTCTATTTTTTGAAACCCTCCACATTGTTCACCTGACAACGACAAATTCAAATAAAGCGATGATTTTCAAACAAAAATTATTATTAGCGAAGAAAGAAGAGAAGAAAAAGAAAAAGCGGTGGTACTACAACCTCCAGACTCTTCCCTTCAGAAAAACACTAATCAAAAATCGATTTTTTTGAAATTTGAAAAAAAAAAAAACGTCCAAATGCCACCAGAGCAGTTTGTTTTTCAAAATCTTCCACATTCTTCAACTTGCAACAAGCCGAACAAATCGATGGCCGTGAAAATAATCGAATACTTATAACACAAAACAAAACATAGACTTTGGGCTTTCAGATGCCAGAAGTTTGTAAAAGCGCTGAAACTTCCCGTTTCACGCTATTCCTATCGGAAAAACCCTATTCCTATCAGACCAGGCCTAATAAGTCCGATTTTTAAACACAAAAAAGTTTAAAAAAAGCGTATATTTGGAATCATCAGATGCCGAAAGTTCGTAAAAGCCTTGGAACTACGGCCGAATTTCACTGGAAAACTTTGAAAGGCGCCACGTTCCTCCCTTTGCAACGATTGCACTGATTTTGGGATATCAGATCCATGTTTCAAATACAATCCATGTCATTCCAGAAGTTTGCAAACGAGCTGGAATCACAGGCGGAAAATTGTCGGAAAAATTTGTTTGTTGAATTTACGCGGAAGAGTTCAGAGACTAATCAAAGTCCGATTGAAAAATAAAAAAACGGCAAAAAGCATGGATTTGGGCCGTTCAGATGCAGCTTACAGATACCGGAAGTATGTAAAAGCGTTAGAACTACGTTCGAATTTCACAGAAGAAGTAAATTTTTTTGAAACCGTCGAGGTTATGCATCTGGCTGCGATTGCAATAATGCGATGATTCTCAAATTACAAAAAGCGAAGAAATTATAGATTTTGGTCTTTCCGGCGCGGCATTTAAATGATAAAAAATTGTAAAAGCGCTGAAACTCCAGGTAAATAATAAAGGGAAAGTTTGTTTTTGAAACTATCCAAACTCTTCTCTACAGAACAAGCCTTATCAAATGCCGATTTTTAATTATTAAACAAATAAAAAAAGTCTATATTTCGGACGTTCAGATGCAGCTTTCGAATGGCGGAAGTTTGTAAAACCACAGGAACTACGAGCGAATGATTCCGGAAAAATTCCCAACCCAAACGCTCCACACTTCCCTTCAAAACAAGCCTAATCAAAGGGCGATTTTAAAATATTAAAAAAACCCAAAAAAAGCGTGGATTCCAAGCTGACTTTCAAAAAGCTGAAGAACGCTGAAGAAAAGCTGAAGCTCAAACGCAGCTTTCGCATTCCGGAAGCTTGTAAAAGCGGTGGAACTACGGCCTAATTTCACCAAAAAAGTTTGATTTTCAAAACCTTCCGCATTCTTCAGCTGGCAGCGAGCCAAATAAATCGATGACTATGAAAATCATCGATTACTTATAACAAAAAAGTAGAAAAAATTGTAGACTTTTGGAAACCATAGGCGAATGATATCGAGAAAATTATTTTTTTTGAACCCGTCCACACTATTCGCTACAGAAGAAGGCTAATCAAAGGGC